ATCCATCCGCATCCGCACCCACACCTACACCCACACCCACACCCACACCCACACCCACACCCACACCCACACCCACACCCACACCCACACCCACACCCACACCCACACCCGCATCTCTATTAATAAACGGAAAAGTATTCGTTACCGGTGGAAACTATAATTTAACTACAGATCTGAGTAGTGCTGAATTGTATGATCCACTAACAGAAACGTGGACAACAACTGATAGTATGAGTTTTGAACGGCGACGCCACACAGCAGTCGTTTTAAAAGATGGAAAAGTATTAGTTGCTGGTGGAGAAATACTGATTTTTCTTTATATGCTGTTGAATTATATGATCCATCAACAGGATTCTGGAAAATTATTGATGCTATGAAAACTGCACGAGATGGACACACAGCATCAATATTAACAAATGGTAAAGTGTTAGTTACTGGCAGCACTACTAATCTTGTTCCTACAAAAACTGCTGAATTGTATGATCCATTGAATAAAAAGTGGAGAAGGACTGGCAGTATGCGTGATGCACGAAGTGGACATACGGCATCTGTTTTATCAGATGGATTAGTTTTAGTTACTGGTGGATATAATGATGTTAAAAACTGCTGAACTGTATGATCCAGCAACGGAATTATGGACAACGACTGGTAATATGAATGGTGTGCGATATCTACACACGGCATGTTTATTAACAAATAGAAAAGTGTTAGTTATTGGTGGATATATTGGTAGTTCTGAGCTAAATAGTGCTGAGTTGTATGATCCATTAACAGGAACCTGGACACTAGTAGCTTCTATGAGTAAAGCACGACAGTTTCACACAGCAACAGTATTAACAAATGGAAATGTCTTAGTTACTGGTGGATTGGGTCAAGGTAGTATCACAAATAGTGGTGAGTTATATAATCCATCAACAGACAGTTGGTCAATGAGTAAAAGTATGAATGATGCACGAGAGTGGCATACAGCAACATTATTAGCAAATGGAAATGTATTAGTTACTGGTGGAGCATTTCATGGTGATCCTTTCAATAGTTCAGATTTATATTATTCAGATGAGACTAATTATTAATCAATAACCTTGTGATGATAAGTCACATGGATTCTTACATTCAGACAGCGCACAATTTTCTTCGATGTATTCGTTAGTTTGTCATACATTGTAGAATTCAATTTAAACTATCAAAATATTTTTCTGAATAAATGAGTGTGTGTGTGTGTGCGACTCTTCATTTTCCTTTCACTTACGCGTATTCTCATTCATACCATAATTTTATAAAATTATTCCATCTATTTTACAGTAATCTATTGACATTTTCAAATACGCTTAAATGTATCAATTTTCACATTTTATATGAAAAAAAAACAGTGATATATTTAAGTCTATGCTCACACTAGAGTCGTTAAAAATGATTTAACCAATAGAATTATCAGAAAAGTTGAATCAGCTTTTTTAGACGATTAAACTTTAAATGCACTAACGTAATAAAATTTCGTTTCATCAATAGAAAAAAATACTTGTGGTGTTCCCGTTCGTTCGTTCTTTGAATTTCTTACATCGTGGCATGCGTACATAATAAATGGCTTGCCTACTATAATTCGACGCCGAAATGAATATAGGCTGTTTAACTTTTATTTATACTCGTACTTCACGAAAAAATAGAAACGAAAGTTTTATTTACTGTGTTTATTGTAGATAATGAAACTACAATATGTTCGACTCGTCGTGTCTTCTAACAACAATCTTCAATTTAATTCTTCATTACAAAGTTCATCGAACTTCGAACCTGTACACAAAGTGTTGCAGCAACAAAACACTATTTCTTCGATTCGAGTTCTTAACGGAATCACACCATCACTAACAGCCACCTTACCGGCTCGTTTTATTATAACAACAAATCTTACAACAATAAATTTTCTAGCCAAATAACACCACAAACAATAGATAAATCAACAGTTAACACAGCCTTTCTTGAAAATAAAACAAACTCATCTTCTATTGATATGCCAGTGACGGAATCGAGTATTGTTGAGCCTCTTCCAGCACAAAATACATACAAGTAGATTTGTGGATGGGGTGTGGGTACAGATTTAGATATGAACGTAGGTGTGGCTGAGAAGACAGAGCTTACACCCACACCCCTGGATGACGATGGTCGTTCTCGTGAAAGTTCAAATGTAATATTAGGATTATTTCAAAAGTCAACAACCAATTTTCTTTCATCATGTACGGTGTTTTTGAAGTGATTTTCATGTATGATATGTATTTTCCGAGCTGAACATTTGAGTCTTCATGCATGTGTCATATGAACAAATATACTATGTAAGAGCTTATCACTTTTTGGTTTAATAGTTACTTTCAATAGATTTATATTTTGTTGTGTAACATTTTGAGTATTTTGTGTCAACTTTACTGTGGTTGCACTCATTACCAGTTGTTTTTGCTTAGCCGTGGGCTGATTGTGGGTGTGTGGGTGGGTGTGGGTGTGGGTGTGGGTGTCGGTGTCGGTGTGGGTGTAGCTAAAAAAGATATCCACACCCACACCCCAAAAGTGGAGAGAACAGGGTAATCCAACATTAGATTTTAAAAAAGCTGAAAAAGGATTAGATTATTTGTATAATTGTAAAGATATTTCTATTTTATTTCAAAGTGGTTGTATGTCAACATTAAATAGTTTGGAACAATTTATAGAACAGTATGAAAATTTTCTACGTGGTCATATGGATACTAGTTTTGAAAAAATTATGCACTATCAAGATAAAAATAAAGATGAAATATTTGAAAAAGCTAGAATTTTAGCAAGTCGTTTACAAGAAATAAATGAAATAAAGACACAATATAGAAGATTTTTTTCGAGATTCCGACAACAAACATTAATTGAAGAATGGAAGAGAAAATGAGGAGGTTATTTAAACAAATTAATAGATGACATGATAGTATTAAGTCGTACGAATCATGCTGAAGAATTAAATAGTAAATTATTCATTGCTAAAGCATTAAGTAGATTAGATGGTTTCATGAATGATAAAAAATTTATTGACATTTATAAAGAATATCAAAATATACTTTTTACTAACACAAGTGATGTATGTAAAAAAGCTATTGACGCAATTACAACAAACAATTATGACCTAGTTGCTAGCGAAATGGCAGCATTACAATCGTCAGATAAAGTTGGAGAGCACTTTTTCCAACAGGCCAGACGAGCAATTAATATTGGTTTAAATGATTTATTAGATGAAACAAAAAAAAAGCAATAATGCCAGGTTCTAATACAGAAATAGAAGAAATTAATTCTATTATAGAAAATCTAAAACGAATGAAAAAAGCGCAACAATTTATAGTCGATTATCTTGACACACCATATGATATAGATCAATGTATAGTTGATGTTAAAAAAGCGTTGACAGAGTGAATAATTCGTTTTATAGAAGGAATAAAAGCTTTGATTACCGTTAATAATTTCTCCGAAGCTGATAAAAAGATCGATTCAATAACAGTAGTACGTACTTTGTTAGGAATTTATTGTACACCAGAAGTTTCTAAATTAATTGATGAACTAAAAACTAGTCTTAATAACGTTGTATTGATCGATATAGTTAAAAAATATTCAGAAATGGATATTAATAAATATACTTTAAACCCGCCTGCGGCTATTTTCGCAAAATTTGGAGAGGTTAGCAATGTTAAACCAATATACCATCAAACGTATAATAAAATCAAAGAAGCAATTTTAACTAAATTGAGACAAGAATTAGACGATACTAAAACAAAACAACCATTATCATGTGACAATATCTATATAAAAAACTTCGAATCTGCAATTAAATATCTTCCAAAAGAGATGAAAGAATCACTCAAAATTGAATTAAAGCATTGTAAAGAAGATATTGCTCGACTAATTCAAGATCATAA